CCAAAAGCGCCGCTTTGCCGGTGTTAACGCCGGAGAGCCTCCCGCTGGAACTGCCCCCCCCGCAGAGCAGCCGTGCGCCCTGCCCCGGCGTTGTTCAGCGCATCAGCTGATACCATGTCCCGCAATTCGACGTTTTTGTTTCTTGACAACTTCATGCATCTTTTTAGCAGGTTTTGTTTTGGACAGAGGTTTTGCGCGTATTTACAGAATTCAGTGCGATGCGTAATATTCAGACGCGTTGTGAATAAGCAGAATTTGTTAGCTTGTTAAAATTAAGTGATTCCCAGTAAGCACAGGGTATAATCCTATACTTAGGCTTCTGGCTCTCATTTATTTCGCAGCACAACTTTTTGTCTTGGACACACACTTCAGCGCTACAAATTAATCTTTGAGGTGAGACACCGCGTTGCCGCTGGCAAGAAAAGCTTGCTTTTGTAGTAGTAGTGACTAATTTACACGCCTGCCCCCGCTCTCTTTCTAGCCTTCTATTCATAAGCAATATATCAAGGGTGGACCAATGCCAGCAGAACAGTCTGTCTTCAGGAAAGATACTAGCTTTTTTTTCACCCTTGCTTGACTCTCTACTTGTGCTGGCACAGAAAGTCTGTCAGTACAACCTCCATCGTTACCTTATTTTTCCTTGTTTCCTTTCCTCCTACTCCAGTTCCCTCCAACCCTCCAACTTTTTCCTGATAAATATCTTGATGCTGAGGAAGGCGCTAACAGGAGTTTGTGAGTGTTTTAATTTAGAAATCATTCTTTCTGAGATTGATTTCGAGGAAGCAGAAGTCCCTTTGTAACTGACACTTGAATATTTCGCGTCTGATACAAATGCCTTGTCTGCTTTGCTCAGGTTTATTACGAGCTGCTCTGAAGCCACGGAAGTCCTCAGGCTTCTTGCTGAAATTGCACTCAGCCATCCCTTTCCACAAGGCGAGGGAGAAAGGAGGTCCGCAAGAGTTCATGCTAACAATGACTCTAAATGCCCATTTCCCGCACATCTTTGCTAGCACAAACAGCAAAAATAGTCCACTTGCACAGAATCTGATTCAGCTTTCTTGCATTCCGCAATAACAGATGGATTGCTAGACTGTTTACTGTTGCTTTCCACAAACTTCCTGTTAGTAAACTCCTGTATTATTTATGAAACAAAAAAATTACAAAGAAGTATCTTAGCTGATTACTGCCTGCTGGTGAACCACTGCCAGATAAACTTTTAATAAAAATATATGTATGTGAGCAAAGATCCCTTCTGATGCAGTTGTTGGAGTATTATTATTATTTTTACAATTGTTTGTTTCACAATTTCCTGTGACTCTATTGGCTCTATTGTGCTGTGCTCCAGAGCAGGTATTTCCTGCACTCAGACATTTGCAGTTGAGATGAGGTATCTGTGAATGTGTAAAGGAGTGAGGGGAAAAAAAAAGCAGCACACATACATGTTACAGAGATCAGCTATGAATAAGAAATATTTAAATCCTTTTTGCTTTGCAATGACAATGACAAATGAGATTTTACTAATGTGGTATTAATCTCTGCTGACCCAGTTTAGGAAGCCAAGTGTCTCCGAGCTTTTTGACAGAAAACAGCGAACAGTGTTGTATTGACCACCTTCATGCTATTTCTGACGTAAGTAGAAAGTAAATGTGAAGAAACTTTATTTTCCTCTCAGATTGGCTGTTACACTCCACAAAACAGAGGAGCTGAGAGGAGCACTTTGTTTGCACTGCATACCATAGATTAGACTGATTTCTGACTCTCAGTGGCGAGAGAGGAGGCCAGCCTGAAATCTGTCTGTACAATTTTATCAACAGAGCTAGTGAATTTTAAAAATCATCTGTAATAATAAAGAGCAGAATGCAGTGTAAAAATATGAAATTTGTATATTAACAGAAGCACTTTTAGTGTTTTTAGAAATAACACTTGACCTAACAGTCATTCTGTTTTTTTAAATTGTTGCTATTATATTTCATTGAGATTCTATTCTATTTACGTGTTCTGTATGAATGAATTGGCTGCTCCACCTGATATTTATGATTGTAGTCATGCATTATATACATACACAGAAACAGAATGAAATTTTTCCTGATCTGAGACACAGATAATTTTTCCTCAAGATTTTTTATTTGATTCCCTAAACCAAAACCAAAACTCAAACCAGCACTGCAGAGCGAGGACTTTCTAATGTTAGCCCTGCTACACGGATGATTCATTGCATGAGGTTTAACAAAAAAAAGCTGCTGTGTATTGTAGGCAACTGCAGGATGCTGATTAAATCATTGCATACCTTTATAAGATCTGTATTTGCAAAAAAACTGGTATAAGATGGAACAGGGCATTTACTGATCCTGGGACAGAGCTCGTTCCTGAGTGTTTGTGTGAGATGGCGTCACGTAACCAATCACTCATTTCAAGTAATAGTAAGAATATGTCTTCTCTGAGCAAACTCTCTTTTCTCTGCCTCCTCAAACACCCTCGCTCAGAGCTCCTGCTGACAGAAACTGAATTCAATAGTATTAAGGCAGATGATCCAGTGGCACTATCTCCTGATGCTTCAATCCACCATCAAGAATCTTGTGACAGATGTTTCTGCACTTTATGCAAATAGGAGCTTCATGTTTTCTTTTTCTCCACGGAATATATGCAGCTGGAAAATAAAAATCCAGCTCCACGGCAAAAAGTGGGGGAAAAAAAATAAAAATCATGCTGCTGACCAAACAGGCAGCCGGGAGAAAGCGATCTGTAGATGTGAAATCAAATAATTAATCTGCTGGTTCTCAGGATCACTTCTGGGCTTAATCAAGTCATGTATGCGCCGATATGGGTTTTGTGGGCTCTCTCTGCCACGGCGCTGTGGCTCACAAGTCATTTCTGAAACGGGTAAAAGACATCTTTCCTGTGTGTGTATAATGTTTCCTTATAAATGTTTTTCTTTCTTTTACCCTTTCTGATACGCTGTTTTAATTCTCACAGTAGCTGTGGATAGCTGTATTGGATGTGATATGTAAGTGTATTAGAATAGTGGAGTTTGCACATGAAGAAAGGGTTTCAGCCTATTATATGTAATAAATAGGGTATAGACATTTATATAAACTGAATGGGTTCAGGTATGTTCTTTACAATAGCACAGAAAGCTGGACATGTGAGGATGACTGATGAAAAGAAGAAGAATAATTTCCTTCCTCTTGGTTAAAAGGAAAAAATAACCCTTAAACTTAGTGAATTAGAGGAGGTTCTAAGGAAATATAGTTTTACAAATGATAGTGTAATATATAAAATCATGCAATATGGAAGAGCTGTAGAATCCCACCTATAAATACCGTTGAAAATAATGAAAGGTGATCATCTTTAAAAAAATAATACAATTATTTTTAAAAAGCTATTTTTATTACTATTAATAAATAAAATCAATACCATTATTTTAGACTGATTTGTTCTTCTTCTGATTTTTTATATTTATTTGAAGATTTCTGTGGAAGTATTTTTAATCGACAGATATCAGAATAAGTCTTGTGGCTTGTTAGACAATGCCTATATCTTATTTTCTCAGTGAGGCTTTTGTTAATTTTGTATATTTTAGGTATTTTAAAATCTCTTGTGGGTCACAATTTTTTTTTTTTCAGTATTTTCACTTAATACTTAATTCAAAGCCTGTATATGGTACCACGTGAACATTCAGCCAGGATCTATGATAAAATTTATTTGTAAATACACAAAGCAATGGCACAATAATTTTGTGTCATGGTATTGTCTAGAATCTTGTCTTCATTTCATGACTAGTCAAATTCTAGGGAAAGATCTTTATTCAATTCAGATGTACTACATGATTTTCTTCAAAAGCCTCCTTCTGTACTTCTAGGTAAATTTACAATAAACATTAGTGATTTTACCTGGATTTATTTTAATTTAGTTTCTTAAAGAAAAAAAAACAAACAAGCACAAAACCAACACCCAAAGATGTAGTGCCATTTCTAAGAAAAGAGGAAAGAGAGGCTCTATGTGTGAAAATGACAATCATGCTACACTGACTCTAATTCAGATACCAGCAAATACTTACAAATACATCTGTATGTACTATTACATGTCTGCTTTTGAAAGTGGCTGTGCAGATAACTGAAGTTCTGCAGTTAAGGTACAGTTTGAGCTGACCTGTGTCTGAAGAGTTCAAATACAATTCTAGACTCAAGTATTAATAGAATAAACTTAATTTTATTTTTTTTCATAGGTGCAGCTGCATTTTCGATTTAATTATAGGCTCCCACAGTAGTAATTTTTCCGTGACCTACTCAATCTCAAAAGTCAGAAAATTGCTTCTTTTTTAAAGCTGACAATAGCACGGTATGTTTCCAAAGGAAAAAGACAAATTACAGCAAATCATTACTTTAAGCATATTTAAATAGCCAGGAAGAAATCCTAATTGAAAAGTTTGCTAAAATGTGAAAAAGTTAGTGGTGCTTTTTTTCTTTTTTAGAAAAAGATTATTCTCATGTTTGTAACATTGCAAGCTGCTTATGATACGATGCCTTTCCTTTCTCTGCTCACCCTCTACTTCTCCTTCTTTTCTTTCTGATGAGGTTACACACAACATTTTTAGGAAGCAAAAATTTTGACTGGAGAGAAATTAATCTGTAGATGTGTTTAATAATGTAAGTTGGCTATTCCTCGTGAAGCTGAGACAAAGATAATGGGAATTTTTGTATTTCTTTGCATGGGCTCCAGACCAGTCTGCAGCATTACTGCCAGAAATGGTACTCTAACCACAGCTGTTCAGAAAGGAAAAAAAAAGGTTATCATAAAGTTGACTTGACAGTCATGAAATGCACCCTGGTCCTGCCAGAAACCTCCTCCCCAGTAAACCTGTGCTCTTCCCCCATTATCTCTGGTTCTTCTCATGTTGCTTCCTGCTTCTGAACTTTCCCCCAGCAGGGCCTTTCCCTGACAGCCCCCTAGGATTGTGGCAGGGGTTTTGGCAGCTCAACCCCAGGGTATCTGCAGCAGGCCGGCTCCCAGAGAGCAGAGGCAGGACAGCCCCAGGCTCACAGGAGATGTTGAAGGGGTTGGTGAATGCAGACACCATGGGAGGAGGTGAGCTGGCCAGCAGGAACCACTGTTGGCATTGCCTCATGGAAGAAAGGAGAAGCAGGAAGCTGGCACTGGGGTCCCTTCTTCTGCCACGAAATAACTGGGAAAAAAGGGCTGTCTGTTAAGGTAGGTAGCCATGGTGATGTGCCTTCAGCAGTTTCCCCAAGGGAGCTCACAGAAGAAGGTGTTGCTCTCCTGTGTCTGCTGAAGTGCTTTCATTCTTCCCCATCCCTGTGTTCTGCATTTCTTATATCTAAATGACTGAAGCTGTTAAAATTAGGCCCAGACCATGGTCCCATGACAGAAAGCAGTGGTTAGCATGATTCTTATTACAAAAAAGACAACCATTGGAGGGGAAATTTGCTGTATTTTTCACTTATTTTCCAGCAGGTCTGGTTTACCTGTGTGTCTCTTCCCATAAGACACATAAAGAGATCCAGCACTTAGACCCAGAGCAGTGCAAAAGGACAGTGAAAGGGCTGGTTCCTGTGTGAGGGGCAGCTCGAAGTGAGTGTGGGAGCAGCACTGCAGCTTCCATTTGCAGTTGTGCTGGGCTGGCTGTCCCGCAGCTGTTCAGAGCTGGGATCCATCAGCCGCTCTGTTCTCTATCCTGGTGCTACTCTTCCTCTGGCTTGTACGTCAGAGGAGCTGTGTGCAAAACCAGCCGGCATCCAAGGATTGTTCTGGCATGCAGTGTTTTTAGTTTAAAACCAAAATGAAAAATGAGGTAAAGTTTGTCATATTCGCCTGATTCTTTTTCTTTCTGTCACGTCTGTTTTCTTCACTTGTGTGAAAAAAGGGGAGTTTAAGTATGAGGGAGGTGGATTTTTCTTGCTTTTTCTTTGTCTAATTTTTCAGTCATTTATGAGACTATGCTGTTGTGTTTTCTGACCCACCTGATCCCAGAGCAAGCTGATCTACAGTCTTATTTTTATGACAGATGGCTGATCATCAGCACAGCTGAGTTAGGAGCCTCAATGAAAGGACCTTGACCCCCCAACCAGCATCTCTTGAGGAATTCTCTTTGTTGGGTGCTTTCAGCTGAGGCCTCCCCCAAAGTCGAAGGTGATTTCTATTTGCCAAAGTGGGAAGACAACGGGAGGCAGAATAAAGATGACAATTTAAGCAGGCAGTTGAACTTGTTCAGACTGATACCAGCCTGCAGTATTCAGGCAGCAGCTAACCCAAGGTTTCCCTAACCTTGGCAGAAGTGCAGGAAATAGTTGAAGGAGGATGAAGTGTTCTTGAACTGTTTCTCCAATGTATCAAGCACAAGCAGGCTATTCTTCAATATTAAGCACGTGCTTCTCTTTTCTCCCCCTTTAAAGAAACTTTTTATTGTAGACTATAAAAGGGGAAAAAAAAAAATCAATCAATCTCTGTTTGTGGACCCCTGTGCTGCATCTACGCTATCCAAGGACAAAGATGCAAATCAGGACCTCCCCAGCATAATAGCATTTATAAGGCAAATTTCTTGCTGAAGTCTTATAGCAAAAGAAATAGCTGTGCTCAAGTGTTATTTTAAACAAAAAGAAAAAAAAAAATTAACCACATTCTTTAAAACATCAGCTTCCCTGGATACATCAGAAACAGCATTCCAGATAAAAGCAGCATGATGTGAAAAGACCTGATCAGCAACATATTGATGTCTGGGCTTGGGGACTAATGTAAGAACTTAAAGACTTGGCTAGAGAATGTATCTTGAGAAGCATAAACATATAAGAGGATGCCAAACCATGAAAGGCTTCCTTTGCACTGAGAATTCAGAAATCAGCGTGTTGACAAGCAGAGAAGCCAATGCTGCTAGCACAGCACATAGGGTGATGAATAAACTCAGATTTTGAGAGCCTAGGATGAGATCTAGAAAGGGGCCAACTGATTTAGCCATGTTTTTAAGTCTCTATACCCAGCATTTAGGTGCTGTCAAGCCTCAGGCCTCCCTGCCCAGCTGCCAGTGATGACGTGTCACGGGCTGGGGCAGCCAGCTTTGATTCAGAATGTGTGTGTCAGTGTTCAGTTCTCAGAGGGGATGGAGAAACTACCAAGAGACTGACTGCAGCAGGCTGGCTGAGCCTCATTCGCTGAGGCTATGGGAGAGTCAGGTTTGATTTCCTGCTCAAATGTGCTGCATTTTCTGGCTGTGGGCTCAGCAGTAGGCTCCTGCAGTGCCTCCCTGGAGGCCAGATACACCTCCTCCTGTGTACCAGGGGAGAGCCTGGAGGCTGTGTGGGATCTGAGCTGTTCCCTGCCTGGCACAGCACGTTCGAGGCAGATGTATGCCTCTGTAACTGTGACATCCCACCAGTGTCTCTGGAGCTACTGCAGCAGGAATGCTGGCTTGAAACACTTGAGCCATGAGCAAAGCAAGTGAACAGATATGGCTCATGGAGTTCTGAAACTTGAGACCTGGCCACCCATTATTAATTGATGAGGTCTCTTCGGGATGCCAGCAGAGAAGCAGTATTCTTCTCTTGTTAGGAAAAAATGCAGTTTTCCTCCAGCTGCACTTAAAATTAGATAGTTCAATAATGAGCTGAGAAATAACAGATTTACGTATGAAGCAATATAGCAATAGAAAGACAGTTAAAAAACTAACTAAAAGTTAGTTTTTTAGTTTTTAATTCAAGGTAGTTAAAACACTAGCTTATGTGAGTTTTGATGAATAAGCTAAGTTTAAAAGCTATAATCTAAGGAAAATGAACATATCTGCAAAAATATGGGATGTACATACAATGAGGAAAAATAAAACCCCTTTACCTAAAAGAGAAACTTGAGAGGGCAGTCCATGGGAAAAAACACTGATGGCTTAATCTTTTGCGTTTAGCATAAGCCTACCATGCAACCGCCCAAGATAAACACCATCTTTTTCTGGTTTGGAAAACATCTTGAATGTCCTTTAAACTTGTTGACTTGCTCCACTTTTATCAGGCCTTTTTGCATAAGCACATTGATCCCAACACAATCATCCCTTGAGACGTACTCATGCTATTGTCAGGTACCTCCTGGGGGCTGAGCACCTACCCTGGGAGGGTGTTGGTAAGTACTTGCAGGCACCTCTTCTTCAGCAAAGCGATCATCGTCTGTGCAGCTGATGGCTCTCATTTTTGTTTGGTTGGCAGGGATGGTGTCACTAAACTTGAGCTCACTTGTCACAATGGAATTTAATTATCTGCTGGAGAGAAGCCCTGACAGCTGTGGCGTAGGTTTTTCAATGTGATGTTGCCTGGATTGCAAGAAAAATATCAAGGGCTGGTGAGAACAGCCATGTTCTAAAAGCATCTCTGCCTGGGTTAGACCACTGCCTACCAAAGAGGTATGTGTGATTATCTTGAAGTTATTTATTGACTGTCATGTCAGATCATGGTTAAAGTTTATCTTTACTGCAAGTTGTCCTCAGGAATTCTTTTAGTTCATCAAAAGTAACTTTTCCAGGGCTTGGGTTGGAAGCACAGTGTTTGTTTACCACATTGCCCCTGGGTTTGCCTCTGGCTTGTGCTTCCTGGGGGAGAGCAGTGGGTCTGCTGCTGGTTTCTAAAGCATTGACATCTGTGATGGCCTTCTGTAGTAAAACCATTTTCCCAGCAGCAGCAGCATCAGACATCATCATTTTCTTATGGTAATGGTTATCATTGATAAACTAAGGAAATCTGAGCTGAACAAAAGAGCGAGTGGTTTGTTTGTGTGTCTGTGTGCTTTGTGGTTTGTTTTTTTAATGGAACATTGCCTTAGCTCGTATACCATAGTATCGGGACTTTTTAATTTTTAGCTTTTTTCTTGTTGGCAAACAAATACTCATACCAGTAGCTCTCTAAGGTTACTGACATACTCTGAGATGCTGAAAACACTTTTTAATAAATTCTGCTATACACTTGCACAAGCAAAGGACCTATACTGTGAAGAGGAAGATGGCCCATCTGGCATCTGGTTGCCCTGCTGCCAACCTTTGGAGAAGCACCCAACACCCAAATGCACACACACCTTTGGGAGCCCTAAAGGTAGACCAGGATTTACCCCCTGACTTAGATCCCTGAATCCACCTATCCCCCAGGATCCAGGAACGAGGAACATTGTCCCTCAACCACTGAAAAAGAAGCCTCTTTTCTGTGGGGAATCTGTGGCAGCCAAGCTATACCACACCAAAGGCTACCATACATGTCTTTTGGGAAGTCCTAGCTGTGTCCTCTGGGCTTCAGATAAGCTCTCCCTAATCACAGAATGTTCTGAGTTGGAAGAGACCCACAAGGATCATCAAGGCAAACTCTTAGGTGAATAGCTCCTATGGGATCAAACCCACAACCTTGGCATTATAAGCACCATGCGGAGCTGATGTCCTGGAGACCATGGCTCCAGTCCCTTCCTTCCCCTCCTGTGGCTGAAGCAGAAAGCACTTTTTCAGTGGTGGAGGGGAGGCACTGCATCACCTCTACTAAAAAAGGGTGAAGCTTTCTTGGCCCCAAGGATGTATTTCTGTCTGGAGCTTTTAAAGAACAGATGCCTGTGCACTCTTTAGGCCACTGTCAGATTAAACCATGCATAGTGCAAGCTGGTGTTTCTTGTGCCTGTCATCCTGGAGCATCCTGGGCTAGGTTTGGAAATTAGACCATGCTGTTCTTCCCAGGACCAAGCAGGGCAAGGAATCATCTATCCGTGCCCTGCCCAAATGCAACCTTTGTAAGGCCCTGTGCTCCTGCCTTGAGCTGAAAGGGATGACCTGTCTGGCAAGCGCTTGGGGAAGGAGTTTCTTCTCCAAAAAGTGAGTGTGTTGTAATATGTTTACATTATTCACTGTCAGCTCTCAATGACTGCTATTAGGATTAGAAACAATTTGGAAATTCTGGAGTTAAAAGTATGTAAGTTGCACAAAGATAATACTTAATAAACATGAATACATGGTAAGGAGGGTTTTTTCCAACCTTTTAATATGACTTTTAGACTTACACGCTTTTATCTTATTTTATTAGGCCATGTGAAATAAATTAAATGTAACATAAGATGCTGTTAAAAAAGATTTTATGACATTGAGAACTGGTTCTATATTAGGACCAGATCCTACAAAGGCTTATTGATGTGAACAGTTTTGCTCCCATAGATAAGCTATGGAGTCAGCTATGGCTAACCATTTAAATGCTCAGAATCAGGCCCTCATTTTGGATGCACTTCTCATTGTTAAATCAATGTGAAAGTGAAATCTGTCTCCTCTCAAAAGGAAATTGCCAAGACTTTCTACACTAAGATTTGGGATCTGTAGAAAATGAAGTCTTTTTATTTTTTCTTCCCTCCAATAATCTGTTCAGTGAACAAGCTGTGAAAAATAGTTCTATATTTTTTCCATGTGATGCAGCAGACGGTAAATTTCCATTTAAAAGAATGATCAGAGTAGCTGCTGGCACTGAACTCTGTTGTCTTAGTCAAATCTACTTACAAAGAGTTTACAGCAATACAATAGCTTATTATTTCACTCAACCAGAAATCAGATGAAAAAGGCAAAGGGGAAGCCTGAAGTAGGTTCATGGTCACAATTCTTTTCTTCCTTAACATCTTGGGTTTTTTTTAATGCAGGAGTTGAGATCAGTAGTTTTATGTATAAGGAGGAGACTACTTCTTTTCACCTCTACTTTTGTATGCTTTGAAATAATCAGACTACACACTTCTATAGTGCCTTTCTTCTGGGAATCTGAAAGCACTTTACAAACATTAATTAAAGTCTCACAACACCCATGTGGAGGTAAAGAAGCATTGTTTGTGTATCTAATGCAAAGGCTTAACCTGATTCTTTAAGTACTCTACCAGGAAAATAATGGAATAGCCAAAGCAAATTAATCTAACTGAATTGCTGGGAGCATTTATATGTTCATGTGCATGTGTATATGTGCATATATATATGTGTGTGTCCGTGCATGTGTGTGCCTGCATCTCTGTGCTGCTGGAAGCCTCAGACTGCACCTCCTCTGCCCTGCACATCCTGCCCGTTGTTGTCTCAGGGGATTTGATGTGTGCTGCTGCTTCTCTCTGCATGATGCCTCAGGTCCATCAACAAATGTGTATTTTCCAGGAAACCTGGGGAAAGCTTTCATTGTCACTGATTATGCTAAGATTAGTTTTAAAAATTTAAAAGGCAGAAAAAGTCTTTTGATCACCAAATTTGTGAATGAAAATAATAGGTGGGCAGTGAGGACTCAGAAGGGGTTTTTGCCACCTGAGCTGGACCCCTCTGCTGGAGGCTCCAGCACCTCTCCTCTTTAACTACCACTTGTTCTCAAGCCTGGTGGCCTTGTCATTGCTGCTGTTACTTCCAAAGTCTCCCCATCCCAGGGAATTTTGGGTGCAGCACTGCACAGAGACAAGCTGCAGGGTGGGCTTGGCTCCTGCTGAAGCTGCCAGGTCCCCTCCATGTCTGGAGGCAGGAGAGGGGCATCATCCTACTGCAGCTTAATGCTGACCTTGGCTATACACAGTAGCAATGTCTACATTAAAGTATGTTAAATTATTTTACAGACTTTATAGGAAGGGTGTTACCCTCCTCGAGAGGGGCTTTTAGCATCATTCCTGCAGAGGTGTATTCCCTGTACTTTGCCTGGATGGTGCCCACCCCATGCTCTGGGCAGGGAGAGTTGTCCTGACTATCTCCACCTGCCCACCTTTGCTGCTTTGATTTCCTGCTGCTGTGTCTTCAGCTGCAGCTAAAGATCAGAGCAGCCCCAGCCCATGGGATCTGACAGGGATGGCTGATTCATCATGGCTCCCTAGTTACACTGACAGAAATGAAAATGAAGTCAGGGAATCAATCAAAATGGAGGAAACTAAAGCTGAAGGACCAAGTTACTCTTACTTCTTTTTTCAGCTCAGTGCTGTAGTGCACAGGCCTTTCTTCTGCTTGTTCAGCCCTGAACTGCTGAACTCTTGCAGCCTGACTTCTCTTTTCCTTAGACTAATCAGATGAAAAAAATATTTTTCTAGTGGTTACAGGATGGCATTATTTTCTTTCTTTGGGTCAAAGTTGTAGGGAAATGGGTTCACATGGGTACCATGAGTTTGAGAGAGGATCCGATTTTTGTAGGACTAAAAACAAAAAAGGCCCCAGAACCATGAGTTTTCATCAGCCCTAGTCCCACATGCTGTTACAATCTAAAAATGCTTTTGGGTCACCAGCATTAGATCCTTTTCTTAATCTTCATCATGTCTTCTTTCTGCTAATTTTACTTTCTCTATCTGACATAGGCTCTAAGATCTTCAGTGCAAAGAGAGCATCTTTTATCTCTGTAAAGTGTCATGCAAACTTAGGGTGGTACGTAAATATTTAATAATAATATTAGTGATGAAGATTAGAGTCCTGGAGGAACACGTCTCCTTCTTAGCAGATGCAGAACATATCGTGGTAATTGGGTGCTGTTTCATTTCCCTGGGGAGAATTTCTCAGCTCACTCATTTTCCCGTTGCCTCTGGCATCATCTTGGGTAGGGCTATTGGGGCACGCTGCTCTTGACTGGGAATGACTTAATTAGAATTGGGCAAATAACTGCTTTTTCACCTGAGGCTTTGAAAAAAATTCCCCTAAAATACAAGTTGCCTTTTCTTTCATGTTAGAAAAATGGGAACCTGAGGGTTTCCAGAGGGTGTCCAGAGGTGCCCAAAAATGAGGCATGTGTGAGCTCTCGTGATGCTGGAGGTGGCTGATCTGTGCACCCTGAGAGCAGTGGAGGGGCTTCAATGTGCTCAAGCTGGGGCAGCATCAGAGGAAACAGGCTGCAAGGAGCTATAAACTGTCCCCAGCACTCTGCTCTTCGAGCTTTCTTACTTCTTTTCAGTAGCCTAAATAATTTCAAAAATAGTTTGGCTATATAATTAGATTCACTTTATAGGAGAGTTTGTACTCTACCTTACTTAAATCTTAAATTTTCTAATGATTGTAGCCAATAGCAATTAATTTAAAATAATTAAGACAAATATACACATTTAATTGCCAAGCACTACATTTTCCTCATTCATTTATGACTTAATAGACTTCAGTGTATATGTTCAGCCTTTACTAATTGCACAGTTGACAATTCTTTATGACTTTGAGGAGTTCAACATTTCTCTCTTTACTGGCTGCATTCTCTTAGCATAATCATAGTCTTAATTTTGTTTAACTTATGCTAAAGCAAAATATGAATCTAAACCACAGGAGGCAAATAAAACACGACATTGTACAGTTCACTACATTTTATAAAACCATTTTACAACATGAACCATCCACCCATTCTGTTCAATGGAGTAAATGGGATCTAACCATGCTTTAAGGACTGTGCTCATCTTTAAACTGATTAGTTTCTCTCCTTATTACAAAACACAGGCATCTATACCAGGTCTAATGTCTAATTTTATATACAATTAAATGGGTAAGCCCTGTTGCCTCCAGCAATGTTTAATCTTTGTTATTTACCTTGAGGGTTTTTGGGCAGGATCAGAGTCCCATTTCTCCCCTTGCTGTGTGGTGTGAGGCAAGCCTCAGCAGGGAGGAGACCCTTACGGTCCTGGTTGCTGTATGTAAAATGGGATGGAGATGCACAGAAGGGTCAAGCTCATGGCCTGGAGTCGGTGGGACATCAAGGAAGACTGAGCCTTGTGCCTGGAGCAGGTTGGGCAGCAGGGATGGGGTGGGAAGGTGGAGACAGGGACTGGTGTCAGGGGGTTCACTGGAGCGGGGGGCAGAGTGCTGCTGCAAGCTGTGCCAGCTTCCCTCTGTGCCAGATTTGGGGTGCGTGTCCCCAGGACAAGACCGGTCTAAGGCTGTGTGGATGGGGCTGCAAAGCAGGGTTGAGGTGCTCACGGGGCAGCTCTGGAGATGGGTTTGGTGGGGATGAGAGCTTCAGGGAGTGCTGTGAGGGTGCAGCACTACGGTCACAGGCAGGAGAATTCTCCTGCCCGGGGCACCTCTACATGGCGATGCATCTTCCCTGCCCCGCACCAGGAGCAGGGAAAGCAAACGGTGCCTCGACCAAAGGTTAATGCTTAAAAAAATCCCCCAGGGCAAGGAGGAGGCAGCCGGGGCTGGCAGCAGCTCAGCAGCCGGGGCCGAATGTCGGCCGGGAGCCCATTTGCTCATAGCAGCGCCTGGTCAAACCCGCAGCCTGCACATGGCTTTAACCAAGCGCGGTGCAGCGACGCGAGCGAGGGACTGCCTTTGGCATGAGGGCTCTGCTCGGCCCCGCGGTTAGGGAGGAAGGCTGAGATTTGTGCTGGCAAACAGGCTTCCTTCTCTATTGCTTACTCTTCTTCTTTATTTTTTTTTCTTTTTCTTTTTTTTTTTAAAAATCGTGTTTAACACTTGTACAATTTGGTGAAATTACAAGCCCGCGAGGACAGAGGGAGAAGCCAGTCTGTTTAAAAAATAAAAAGAGGACATGATTACTTTGCTGAAGCTGTACTTTCTATTTTCTCTTCCAAAAGAGACAAAGGGAATAAATACTTAAAACCCAGTGGTGACGACAGTGAAGCAATCATGCAGTCGCTGGATACCTTTGTCTCAGGGAGGCATGTAGTCATTTTTACATGTCTGCCACTGGGTGTCAAACCTTTCTTTTCTTCCCCTTTCCATTTTGGATGGCCAAACTGATTATCTAAAATAGAAAATTAGCACACAATGGCTTTACTCTGTGATACCCCTTATGCAACTAATGGGCAAAGCTTGTTAATTGGTTGTAAATGCCAGCAGGTTGCCAAGATAATACTTCAGAAATAAGCGGGTATTCTGATAATTACAGCAATCTTCATCTATAAAAGCTTAAGTAGATGAAGTACTGGCTGGCTTAAAACCAAGATTTATCCCGCTGCACTCGCATTAAAAGAAAAAATAAGATGAAAACAATAATGTAGCAAAACAATTATATAGCAGGAAGCGTTGTAGGTTTTAGAGATTGTGAAAACTCAGAAAGTAAAACAGTGCTGTAATAACCAGTTATGGAAAAATAGGCCATTTACATTTGTGTATAATTAAATAGTAGGCTATGCAATTTCACTTTTTAAAGTAAACTGCCTTTTCCTTTTTTTATAGGGCAACGTAGCCATAATTGCTGCATTAAAGCTTTAATGAAAGAAAAAAGCAGCAGATCAAGATGACATGTAACATCCACATTTGTACTGTGGTGTTCTGCTTGTTTAGTAATGGGAAGCTACTGAGGAGATTAAAATTGCAGAATTCTTCTTATTTTTTTTTCCCCGAAAATTGCTATAGGAAGATCATTCAAAGTCTAAAATACATACAATTTATTTTTCTACCTTCAATCCACAAGGATTTAATGTCTTTCCTAAATCTCAGAGTGTCTGAAGAAATACTTTCTTGCAAAAAAGGGAGATATTATTTTAGCTCATCAAAATTATCAAAAGTAAGCGGCTCAAACTTGAAGCATAGAGGTTTCATCTCATGTTTTAGACTATTACTGAAAATGCTGAACACTGTTTTTTAACTCAGGGCTGCTTTTCAGCTTTCCTGTCAGAATGATCAACAGGTTGATATATAATCTTGTTATTTGTCATTTTGAGATTTTTGGGTTTTTCACATGCCACAAACAAATTGCAAAATGTGGTAAAGCCAGGCTCAGCTGTGTTAAAGCTCTGGACTATAGGTGTGAGTTTTCAAACCAAAGTTTTGTCTATGATAGTGTAAACCAAGTGTTGATATTGGGGCAGGAGAAAACCTTTAGTTTGGTTTTTTCTAATGACCTTGGGTACATCTCATAGACCGCTTTTAATCATTGATGCCTCCTACAACAGAGGGCACATTTTGGCAAATTTTGGCACGTTTTGTCAGGAGTGCCTCAGAGACAGAGGAGTGCAGGGCAGCCCTGAGGGGCTGCTTTGCTTGAACTTTGGGGGAAAAGGCAATGTCAGGCTGGGATACCCTTCCTGCTGGGTGTTTGGGGATCTGTGCTGTTGGCATGCAGATAACAGGGGTCTGCCCCTGGGTAGTGCTGCTTTGCTGGAGCATTGACCCTTCCCCTCCATGCAGAGGCCCAGGGACTGCAGTGAGCCCTTTCCTGGTGGCTGAATGCATGTGCCTGGCATGGTCCTGTGTGCAGGGCACTGGCACAAGAGCAGACTACACTGGATTTTTCCAGACGTGGAAAACAGGATATGACATGCCCTCTGGTAGGGTCAGTCTGGTGGGACACTGGTGGATGTACTGGAAACAAGGCACACCGTGCCATGGAAAGTTAGATTTGCATGTGTGTATTTTCTCCTGGTAGTCAGCTTATCAAATATTTGATGGAGATATCTTTCCTGTGTGTGGTCATGCAACATCAACTCGAAATTTCTCTCACACATGACTCACAGAAAAATAAAAAGAGCCCAGTGCACCACTAGGGATAGCTCGCTATGCCGACAAACATGTAAAATTTTCAAAATAAAGAGGTGCACCTTGTCACCTAAACCCTCTGGGAAAACAAGGTCTGAGAGTGCAGGGGCTGCTAGGGGAGTAGGTGTGAGGCCAGCCCTGCTACCTGCCAGCCCCAGGCCCTGCACACATAATGGACTTTCCTAGTTAGTACATAATATATAGCACTTGTCCGAAGTGTGGCTGCAGGAACCAGCGGAGGAAGAAATAACTTGATGAGATCCTTTAATGGATCTCTCTCCCTTGTCTTCCAGGAACAAAATAAATAGGAGACTTTTTCAACTGGCATGTATTTCCATTTATGCTTTAAAAATTCATGAGCATAGGTTTCATATGATGGTGTAGTTACTATGGTAATTGTTTATTAATCTGGAGGAGCTTGGTAATTACCACAGCACAGTTTATATAACTCAAACTCAGAGTTAAAGTACAGTTATGATTTCTTTACGCATCCATCTTTTAGACACTTTTTTCAACTTTTTTTTTTTTTATTTTTATTTAACAGAATATGCATTTTCCCCTCTCAGTTCTACTTTTATCCAAGTGCATACATTTCTGGAAGTGTAGAGAGAGTGCAAAAATGACAGAGAAAAGCTTGCTCGGAGTTGGCAGGCCAGGACAGCCAGGAAAAAATGTGCAGACTTAAGTTGCAGGTGGATATTTTTTTCATTAAAAAGAAGAGATGTCTTTCTCTTTTCCCTGGAGCATGCCTTATTAGTGGGAGGGCAGCAAGGGGCAGAGGAAAGAAGGTGGCAAAATGGGGATGTTGCAGGAGCCCATGTGTCTATCCTGGGACCGTCCCCCCTAGATGAGCATGAGGCTGAGGGATGTGGGACTGTGTGAGGATGTGTGTTCATTAGCCTACAGCTCTGCAGTTTGTGTGTGACAGAAACACACAAGAAGAAAACCACATGTGCTGGACTGAGGATGAATGGCTGGCTGGCTTTGGCATTTGGGGTTTTTTTGGTGTTGTGTTTGGTTTTGCTAATGGAGAGTGGTGAGGTACCTGCTGGCTACACCTTGGCCCTTCAAAAACCCCTGCTGCCAGTGTTCAGCCCTGACAGTCTCCCAGGGGCATGTACTTGCCTTTCCTGGAGAAATTGAATGTAAAAATGAGTTTATTCATTCTAAAATATTTTTTTTTTTCAGAAAAGCACTACTGCAGGATGCTCTCCAGAAACCCAAGAAACAGAAAACCATGTGAGTGTTTTTCAATGAATTTTTTTCTTTTATCTAAAAGCTCCTTTCTCCCAGAGAGTGAAAAAATTTGCCCACTGTGAATTTTGTTCCTGTGGTGATGCTAGTGGTGAGACAATTAATGGCCATCAGTTCATTCTGTGCTGACCTGTAAGCCAGGAGCAGCCCTGTTGGAGGGTGAGCCCTCCTCGCCTGTCCTCGCTCTCTCCCGCCGGCTCGCGCGGCTGGCGGGCTGGAGAAACTCCCTGGTCGGCCTGGCTTCATTGCTGAGAGATTCACATTATTTATATGGAAAAAGTGCAGGATGCCATCTCCTCGCTCGCTCTGCCTGCATAAATTGCGCGTGTTTATTATTCATCGTAACACAGCACATTCTCTGTTTCTGTGTCACTTGTCACTAATCACTTATGCATCTGATGTGCGGATCCAGAGCAGGTTCTTAAGCATTCTTGGCTTCAAAACATAAGATATGCATGGGTAAGAGTTTATCCCACCCCCAAAATAACAACTTTGATACATTTTCAAAAGGGAAAGTGCATATGTTACAGTACTCAGGAGCAGCAATAACCAAACTAGCTGAGAAGTGACACGGACTTGGGTTATTTTCTTGTTGCTTTCTTTTTTCTTTTTTTCTTTTTTTTTTTTGGTTTCTCTTTAGTATTTTATGAAAGTGTGTAAAAATCTTAACATTTGAATGCCACACGCTTCGTTCTGCCTGCGAGATAAAGGACATTTCTCTAAAAGAAACATACGCTCCTTGTTCCTTGTTTTGATTCCCCGTACAGCTTGTCACAATGCATTTACATTTTGCCCATACATTTGGATTTGCAACCCGAGCTGTGCTTTTGAGGAAGGGATGCAAACTCTTTTCTTTGACTTTTGGGTGTCAGTTGGGCACTGACTGTAGAGGGGCAGGCACAGAGGGCGCAGCTTGCGCGCACCCCTTGCAGCTTCCACTGACCCACAGCCCCAGGCTGCATCAGCTCCTTTGTGAGGGGCTGCAGCCTGCGTTGGCCACCAGCTGGGGAAGGGCTCTTTTCCGGAGCTTTTCTCCCCTGTTGCACCTGACTCCCTTCCCAGGCTGCCTCCCAACTGCCAAACCTCAGTGGACGGCGGCACTGTGTCTACCCCACCTTTTCCCCGCATATTTCTTCCTCCTCTTGTAGACTCTGGGAAATGCCAGAAATTTCCCTTTCCTTGTCTGGATCTGCTCTAGGGAGCACTGTGGAAATGCTGGCAACCCTGAGAACCCTGTCTTTAAGACAATGCCATGTTTTTCCCCTTCTCATGGCACTGGATGAGTGGCACTAACAGTGTGAGGCTGAGGATGGAGAGAGACCCCAACCAGCCTCAGCGGGGATAACGAGCGGAGTCTTCTGGAGTTTGGGTACCACTGTGAATAATGGTCATTGAGCCTGGCAAATGCCATCTCTTGGGTTGAGAATACAGAAAACATTCTCGCACTTTCTTGTGGTTGGCCTGATTGCTCTGTAACTGCAAATCTGGTGAGCACAGCCAGTGCAGGGTCCACCCACAGGTCTCCTCACGATCTCCTGCATCAGACCCCTGAAAGAGATGATGGCTAAGCTGTATCTCCACTGCTCTCTGGCTCACCTGCACCACTCTAACCTGCAGTACAAAATCTGTGATAGTGGCCTTGTCTTGTGGGAGGGCAATGTGCAGAGCAGCTACCAGAACAGTAGACTGGGATGACCTATATTTAATTTAATTTCCTGGAATCATAGAATGGTTTGGGTTGGAAGGGACCTTAAAGATTATCTAGTTCCCAACATCCCTTTCTTTTTTTTTTTTTTTTTTCACCAAGCATCTGCAGAGCAAAAATTATGCACTGTGGAAATACTGAAAAAGTCACAAATCTGGTCAGATTGTCTGATGTGAATGTTTTCTCCCTCAAGGCTGCTGAAATGAAGCCTGATTACTGACCTCTGCACCAGGAAACACAGGGGTTTCATCCAAGGAGAGAGATAATTTGAATTGTTCCTTGTTCTGTTTCTATCTGATGGGAACAATCTTACTAACAACTTCCAACTGCAAGTCCTCCTTGACTGTGTAGTGAAGGCAGCCCTATGATAACACCAGAGAGGCAGCTTGAAATTAGGATACAGAAAACTGATGCCAAAAATATGTCAGCTTGGAAGGTCATTAAGAATTATCCATTTGTGCATGTTCACATGCCAACAGTACCTTAAGTGATTACCTTAGAGGAATGGATTTGTCAAATGAACATATGAATTAACAATACAAAATTGTGATTGATAAATCAAATAAGAATTTACAATTTGCTATTGAATCTAACTGGAATGGAGTTTCACTGGATGTGAATGTGAGAGGAGCTGTTGATGTTCTTTGCTAAAAATGACTCTTGGTGGTATTTTTCCACTTTATGACACCACAGTTGTAGGTGACTGATCTAAAAACCAGCTTGCCTGTACCTCAGGCAGGGACACGTTGTTCCAAAGATCTTGGCTCATCGTTTCCAGTACTCATTTTTTAAACCTCTCCACCTACACCTTTATTGATCTTTCAGGGTTTTTTTTAAGCTCAGCTAAGAAATTAACCTAGACTGGTATTGGCAGACAGATGATGGAGTTTTAATGTAATAGTTGGTAGAATCCTGGTTAAGTACTTTTACATTTAGGCACTCAGATAAAAGCAGCTGATATTTAACTCTGCTTTTCTGCATGGACATAGCTCAGGTGGGTCTTCTGATTTTCGTTTCTGAAAGATAGATTACATTAGTATTTATCTGAGTTGTGGATTATACCTCCTTCACAAAGAGTTTTTAAAGCCTAGAAGAGCAAGATATTTAGGTTTAAAAATATACAGTTGGGCATTTCATTCTTTTCCTTCTAAAGCTCTACCTTTGCAGTGGCTGCAGTGGCTAAGATCATTGCAATCCACGCATTTTTTTTTTGAAATAAACCCTATTGTCAGATATACTTAATCTGACGTTTACAATAAACTTCTTGTGATTCCTTGCTGCATCTTCACCTTTTTGGCTTGTGCCTTTTTGGGTTTGGGGCATTCCTAGTGAGCACCAACTCTACAAAATGCTGTTAAAGCTGCTGCTAGTCTAAACTGCATGTTAAAGACATAGATAATAAGAAAGTACTAAAGGAGATATTACATTTCATTACTGTGTGTCATTAATGTCTTATTATGTGCTAATGAACCAAAGTTAGGTCATAAATGTCTTTGAAATTTAAGATCATTGAGGATTTATTTGACTTGATATAAAGGGGTGGCTTCAGCCTGATGGGTCTGTAGTGCCCTAAGTACACTTTTGCAAACTAAAAATTGCCATAGTAAAATTTACTATTCAGTTGAGGTGGAAATTTCAAAGAATACTAAATTTCAATTTTGCTACTAAAATGGTTTGGGTAATCATGAAATGGGTAACATCAGTTACCAAAAACCCTGTATATAATTTGACATTTTTTTTGGCAGAAATGGTGCTGATCTGGGGCTCTCCAGTGCATTTCTGGCTGTGGAGAACTCCATGATGGCATCCAAGGAACACACACACACACACACACAGACACACACACAGAGTGAGCAGCATCTTTATTTGTTGGTACATTTCAGGGTGCCCCAGGAGGCTCCCAGTCCAGAGTTGTGGGCCTCCCTTCTGTTTTCTTTTTTCCTATACCTAGCAGCTGTCAATTAGATTTTTTTGCACCCTTTATTTGTCCCAGACCTGTGGCATATTCTGTGTAATTTATGGCATGTAATTCTCAGTGACAAAATGCCCTACGTGTAAAAATCATAGTACAAACACGAAGGTAAAAGCACTTGCTCGCTGCTATAAGTGGAAAACAATGCACTAAGAATCAGCGTATACTTAAACAATGTCTTTGTGCCTATGGACATTATGGGAAACACAGCAGCCGAGCTGCATTGTACAGCGGGCTTCCCAACGTGCAGGATTCCCGAGGGGAGGGAAGGGCAGAGGGAGCTGCCCCATCACAGCCAGTGCCCTCTCCCTGGGAAGGGCAAGGCTTGGAGCGCACGGTGAGCTCGGGAAGGCAGGAGCGCAGTTGTGCCTCGCTGTGCGCTGGAGTGGCGGGGCTCCCTCGCACGAGAAGGGAGCGGGAGGCGGCTGCACGGGGCTGGCGGCAGCCCTGAGCCGCACAACGTCCCGGGAAGCTGCGCAGAGAAGCATGACACAAGCCTTGAAACATTTAGGGAGGGGGCATGTTATTTTAATATCCTTTTTTGTGCTTAATAGAAAAGGGGTTTGTGGTTAGTTCTTTATTATCTCCGACAGCAGTTCTCGCTTCGGCTCCTCTTTCTTTAACTGCCAAGCTAGCATTTTCCTTTTTTATTGCTCCTTTCTTCGAGGTTTGCTTTGGAATAGTGCCAGTTATCATTTCCCATTAGGGCAAATATTGCATCAAACTCATGATTAGAGATTTGAGGGCTTGGGAATATCATTCTCGAACATTTGTCTTTCATTTTCTAAGCCTTTTTCTCTCTCTTTGTACACACACATATGTGCACATGCCTGCATATCTGTGGATATACATATGTGTATATATATTTATAGAGAAGAAGAGAGAGTGTGCTGCATGTGGCTGGTTACACGGGTAGGTTTACATGTATGCATGTGTCTATTTGCATGTAAAGTTTAAACCTCATCTGCTAGACAAAGGAAAAGGGAAGAGCTTTCTCCTCGTGTGTGATTTCAGAGGACTCAGAAGGTTAATAAAGGAGAAGAATAACAGATTTGTTTGTATGTTTTGGGTTAAATACTTCAGTTTTGCAGAGAAGGAAGGTGTTAAGAACACACACTGTGAGCGTGGAGATGAAGCCACTGCTAGGGAACTGCTATCAGTTTTACCGACCCTACAAAACTGGGGAACAACACTGCCTGGTTTTGAGTGTGCCTTTTATGGTACCTTTTCTACTACCTTTACCTGCACATATATAGTCACTTCGTGTCTAGCACATCCCTTGAATAAAGTGGCAAAAAATATTACATTTCTAGAAATGATCTATTCTGCGGTATGAACATATGCTGCATCACCTATATTAAAGAATTATATAGATACTAAGGCTCTAATTTGAAAATCCTGAATTGCTCATTAAAGGTGCCCATTTCTGTTGGTTAAATGTGGCCTAAATGTCCCAAGGCAGACACGAGACTTGCCGGGCATGTGCGCTGATTTAGGCTTCAAGGCGTCTGGGTTCCGGTTTAATCTACCTCTTCCCTTGCTTACCTCCCAACACTTAGGCACTTCTGAGATGTTCCAAAGTCTTTCCAGCTGCCACCTATTTCTGATGCTGGCTCACAAAACCCAGCACCCGCTTTCAGTACCTAATTTTAGGAGGATTTTTGCAGAATATATTTTTTTCCTTGTAAAACTTTGCTTACGGCTGGCCTGGGGGAAGGCATGTTACAGGTGGTTCCCCCCACTTGGTGCCCTTGTGGAAATGGGAATTGTGGTGATGCCTGAGGTCTGTGGTCCCCTCCTCCACCACCCTCCTGACCCCCCTCCCAAAAAAGGGTTCCCGAGAGCCAGGCACCATCCTACTTCACACCCGGCAAATCACTTAACCTCTCAGCACGTCGGCTTTCGCAGCTGTTAACACAGGGAATGGTTTTATTTCACCTCCTCTCGTAAAGAGCATTGCGGCTCTCATCGACCCGAGGCCAAGCATTATTTCCACTTACAGATAAGTTGGATTTTGGCAGCTGGTGAGAGGGAGGCAAGCACATTCATCTGGGTAAAATCCCCTGGCTGGAGAAATAGCCAACGGGGAAGTTTTATAAGGCAGGCACAAAGCAATATCAGCAATATCCAGAGCAAATCTTGTATCGGAGTTGTCATTTTTGCTCCAGCCTGGCAGTGGTCGGCTGGGGAATTGGGGGGTCTGTGAGGAGACTGGGGCAGGCAAACAGCAGAGCGGTGCCGGCCAGCTCAGCTGGGGTGATGCTGACACTCACAGCACCCGACAGGTTCCTAAATACATATATTTCCAGGCAGCCAATTTGCCTCCAAAAAATTTATTCTTCAAGGCTTATTCCCATCTGCCAAAAGAAAACATGTCATTTATGAAAAAAACCCCGAAAATCTAACACTGACAGGGAGGAGTGCGTCGTTGAGCTACAGCCCTCTGCTTTTACCTGAGCCAAGCGCCGGAACCATGTGGGGAGACAGCCCTGTCACCCACATGCTTTATTAACAGTCAGCTTTTAATTGTGATTTTTCCTTTACTCACAGTTCACCTTTTCTTTTTCCCAGCAAATACCGCACTTACTTCATTAAAATTTCTGCCAAAATGAGCCCGGTCAAAGTCTCTGTGCAGATTAAATACAATGCCACCTCTTTTCCTGCTCCTAGTACAATGGTTGTAAGTTAAAATCAGTAGAGTAATTTCAGCCATTTATTCTGTAATTCAGACTGATAAATTTGACTCCACATTTCTAGCTCTGCCCTGCTTCTTCTATCCTCCGTTCCTGAAACTAAAGTCATGGTCCCCACACGGGAAAGCTTAAAGTTGAGAAAAGGTACAGTAAACTCCCAGTTATTTTAGGAGTCTTTAAGTGATTAAGTCAAAAGGATGGTTAATTATAACATTCTAAAAACACAGCTGCTAAAAAAATAGTTTCCAGCAGCCACCAACTTATTATTTTGTCATCATCTTAGACATACTTATGACATATGGGAAAAATAAAAGATTAAATCTCCATCCCCAAACTGCCCCCACAGCCACGCAGTCCTGGAACAAGCAACATCTTCTGAAAGAAGGAGGCTCGGCCTGACTCCCTGCCAGTGTGTGCAGGGGCGGCTTCCAGCCCCACGTTCACTTTCACAGCCTTGAAAGCTGAATCTTCTGTGGGGCTTGCAAAACATCAGCTGGGAAAACTGTGGCTAAATCAAGAGCAACCACAGTTTGCCAGGGAACAAATATCCCAGCTTTGGCCATATCAATCTTCTATGCACTCTCGCTCATGTTTTCATTTCTCACACACCACGGAAATAGAAAAGTCATTGCTGGTATTGCCAGTGGGGCTGAATTATGGAGCCCCATAAACATTTTCACTCTGCCTCAGTAAAGAGCAGCAGCCTTCTCCCTGTGCCCACATTGTTGAGGCTACCTCAAAAATAAATCTGCCTACAAGAGGAAACCACAGTAGGTTTCCCAGAGGCGGACAGTGCCTTGGGTGGGGAGAAGATTTTATATTGCCAGTCTCTCCATATGTCGAGGCCAAAGTGAGTAAGGAGCCCTTGGTGTGGTGTGGCACCCGGGAAGTTGGGCGGCAGTGGGCGACTGTTATTGTCAGCAGTGTTATTTATGCTGATGTGCTTTAAAAAAAAATCACCCACTTCATTTAAAAACTACAGATCAAACAGGATGGCTTCTAACTTATGATCAAGGTGGAGGCTGCTGAGGAAACCAGAGACACTCAGATGAAAAGTAGATGTTGCTTCAAACACTAACCAGAAGCTGTGGTTGCATGAGTGGCACAGCAGTGTCTGTGGTGGCTTGGTGGGGAGACCAGAATTTCTGTGAATAAGGTCTGACCATCCCCTTATTTCCACCAAACCATAAGCAGCTAAGGAACACAAGATTAACCTTTGTGCTGCAGCAATGATATGTACTGCAATATCATTTCTTTTAGTTATATGGGAGGCAGAGACCATGACTATGATGGTGTTTGTACAAAGCTCTGGTAAAAGAAACCATCCATGCTGGGAGTACAGCAGAATGTCCCTCACTTCCCAGCGTGAGCATCACCTAATCTCATGTGAGAGAAAAGAAGGCATGCCAGCCCATGAAAGAAACACTTCCAGCTCTTTACAGAGAAATATCATTGGAGGTTTAGAAAAATACTGGCCCATGTTGGTTCCAAACCTTCCAGATCTGTCTGTGGCACATCTCAGAGTGCTGGCATTGCTTGGCATTGCTGCCCTGGCAGTGCTGGTTCTGCACAGGGGCTGACAAGTGCCAGTGCTGCAAGTGGCTCTCATAACACCCCAAAATCCAGGATGTACCTGTGTGCGCCTTTCTCACAGCTGTTCTTTCCTCCAGTGTCCTGCCACCACAGGCTGAGTGCTCACAAATAGAGCTGACAGTGCTTGTCACTGAGATTTGCAGCTTGAGTCTCAGGAGAAAGGAAAATTTGGGCACCTGGGAGATGACACTCATCCTGAAGCTAAACATGTGCAAATTCTTGTGGTGTGAGTGTAATGGAAACGTATGGGTCCCTGTACACGGGTGTGTACATACTAGGGGTACCTGGCCCAGCTCATGCAATGCAGAAAGCCTCTCTACAGTCCCCCAGTTACAGGAGACTATTCCCAAAGCTTGCTAGAAAATGTCTGCAGGAGGATGTGAAGCACAAACTGGGGTAGCAGCAGGATGAGGAGCTGTAACCTGCCTGCTCCAACAGGCATTTTTTCCCCATACTTGCCACCCTCCAACCCTTTTTTCCCTGTGGAGCAGCTGGGATGTCATGTACATGCACCAAGCTACAATGTGTAAAACTTGGTGCCACAGCCATGCCACCAGCTGGCCACCTGCATGGAGCTGAAACCCGGCTATATGGAGCACCAGGGGTAATTCCCTGGGGCAGGAAAGCGTCTGATTCTTCCTCTCCACTCTCTGATACCACTTGTTGCATAGAAATTATGCAACAAAGTGGCTGCAGCATCAGGGTGGGATGGTGCCTCACCCCAAAGCCACTCAGGCTAGTGGAGGTGGTGTCCCTCACTCCTGAGCATCTGGGACAGGCCAGTAACAGCAATAACACCATCAGAATTGTTCTCGTGGGTTCACAGGGCTGCAGATCCCACCAGCAGCCACCTTTGGGCTCCCACCAGTGCTGGCTTTCTGCTCCTCATGAAAACACCTGTCTGCACTCAGGAGGTTTTCCTACCACTTCCCATGAAAGGCTCATCCAAACACCTTTACTGTCATCATAGCTTGTGTTAATTTGGTATAACACAGGCCAGCTTAAGCTTATAGTGCTGTTTTTTATAGAGGAGCATTTATTTCTTGTATCAACTCTCAAGGATGTTTTATCTGTTTTATATCCCATTGAATCCTCTGTGAAACTGCACTAGTTTACAATAATTTTATTACTTTATTAATTAAACGTTTTCCAACAAGCTAGCTATGGCATTTCTTATCATCAAGGGTTCCATTAGTTTTTAATGGTGTGAGACAAAATTACCATTTACCCACATGCAATTTAAGAAGCATCATTAACACAGAGAAAGCACCAGGTGGGATTTCTAATAGTTACTGTTTCTCATTTTTGTTTTTATTTAAAAGGAATAACTGGTTTTGAGGTTTTTGCTGCAAGGTTGCCAAATCCTCACTTTGTTTTTTATGTTCAAGATAATTTAAAATAATGTTCTTCTATCTCCTTAGGCTCTTCTCCACACTATTTCCCTTATCAGCACATCGCGTGGTGTGTACGCAGTGTCTCGGTGCAGCCGGGTGAGTGTGTTGTCTGCACAGTAATCACCAAGAACAAAGACTCATCTGCACGGTCAGTGAGCAGGGCTGGGGGGCCGTGTGTGCACACGCGTGCCTGAGACACTGCCTGGCTTTGCAGGGCTGTGGCAGGAGGGAGCTGAGCCGGCATAAGCCCCAAACTACATGCAGCACCTACCTTGTGTGGTTCAGGGCCCACAGGTGCTGGTCACTGGGTGCCACAGGAGCCATCCCAAGCACAGGAGAGCAGGAAGTGCTCCTCGGCCATGCTCATCCATGGCATCAGGGACCAGCACCGTGAGGATGGAAAGTGGCAACTTGCCCTTTTTAAAGTTCTTGAGAAACTTTCACATAGGTTGATACTTTGACACTGGTGTTCCTTGCCAAAGACAAGGGAAACTCCACGATTGTAGTAAATATTTACCTTAAACGAAATGAGAATAATTAAATGGCACCTTCATTGCTATATTCTATTCAATTATGCTGACTATGAACTAATTGCTGACTCAGTTCATTTACATGTTAATAAATGTCTGTGTTTAAGGTCCTCCTTGGTTAATTTTCTAGGCTTAACGATACGGAATTGCTGGAGTTTTTTTCCCCATTAACTCTTTGCTTTTGCTTAATTCTGTGACCTCCTGCTGCCATGCATGGATGTGGGTGGTGCAGCCCTGCCCCTGGCCATGGGGCACGCGGTGGGTCCGAGCTGGGGCCTTGCCGGCGAGATGGAGCGCGAGGGTCCAGATGGTGCACGATCCCATGAACCGCTGAGCGCGAAGCACGCGGGAGGGTGTTAGGGATATTTAGTGGGATGTGTTTGACAAGGTGTTTCCTTATTTAAAGGGGAGGGGAGGAAAAGGCAGATGGTGTGGCTGTTTCTAATGACATTCCCTGGCTGGGTTTTTTAACAGCAGACATAAGAGGGGCATAAGCACCTGACGCGCCTGTCTGCTTGGCTGCTGGGAGGGAAGGGACGCTGACAAAACAGGTCCCACCGCCACCCTGCTACCTGTTCTGCTAATTTCATATGCCAGGGTTCCTGGTGAGGCTGATGGAAGGGTCTGTCCTGGGCCAAAGTCCCCAGAGCCACTGGTGCAGTGTTTACCAGGTTGCTTTATTGCCTCACATCCACATAGCTTGGGGGAAACAGCTCTTTCCCAGAACCCCACCACCCCTGTTTTGCTTCCCAGCACCCCTCTCCCTCCAGATTCATCCTTTTTTATTTTCTTGCTTTCTGAGCTCTCTTCTTGCCCAGGTGGCTGTGCTGTCACTGCCAGCACCGTGCAGGTCTGTCCCACTGCAGGCTGGAGCTGCTGCTTGCCCAGTGGCCTCCTGGAAACACCTGGGGTGATGCTCTGTGTGGGAGAAGAGGGGTTACAAGTGGTGTTTTCCTGTTGGAGGTTTTTAAGCATGCTACAATCAGAAGTGGTCTGGTATTTTTTTATGCTTAGGAGCTTCTATTAAAATAGAAACAAATGCTGAATTTCCTAAATGGGCAGATAATTGTTCCATGACGGAGAGCAAACAAATGCACAGGGATGTCCTCTGCTTTAAATGTACGCTGCGTTGAACTCCTGGTCAGATAAATTTCTAATTAATTTGCTTGCGCAAGACATGGAACAAAAGCTCTGATTATATATTAGAGCAAGAGGTGCAATAATATCTTCCTGCATGCTTCCACATTATCTTATTTCTTGCCTGCAAAGGGACTCTGGGGCGGCCGTGCTGGGGGCGATGCCACCGCAAGCCCCAGTGGGAGTCCCCAAAGAATCGTGACCCCCCAGCAGGCCAGGGGCCGGGACAGCTCCCGGAGCCCGCTGGCAGCCTGTGGCAGGATCCCCCAGGCCCGGGCCGGCGGCCGGCTGGGTGGGTTTGGAAGCGGTGCCAGGCGGGCAGGCGGGCAGCGCAGAGCTGCGACTGGCACTTTATGCTAATGGCTCAGCCATTATTTATTCCTTTGGAATTCATTACAATCGCATTATTTGCGATCGGCTCATTTAGTGTCGCGAATGCATCCGTAGGATTTTTTTACTGTGACCTAATTAATAATGAATGATTCTGTTTAGAGGCGCCGCCGTACGCAGGGCTCCAAGGCAGGAGCGAGAGTTTCAGCGAGCGCCGCTCGGCTGCTCCGTGCGCCGTGACAAAAGTGCCAGCAAGCGCTGCTCAGCCTCCCGTGCCCCACGGGCAGAGAGAGGCCAGGCAAGGGCTCTGCAGGCTCCACACAGCTTCCCTGGGGCCAGCAGCCCCCGGCCCAGGCGCCCTGTGCAGCTCCAGCTCCAGCTTTCTCTCTAGTCAGAGTACTTTTTTTTTTATTTTATTTATTTATTTTTTTTTTTTTGGCGCCAGCAGATCAGAGCTGACCATCCTACCAAAACCAAAGTTGAACACTGACCTTGTCTAAAGCAGGAAAAAACTTCAACAGTATTTTGGGAAAATTCTGTCTCAGTTTTCGTTGACCAGTAATATATTTGGGTATTGTAAAGCTGTACAGGATGAGAAGATCTTCATTGACAGAAAATCTTCACCAATTTACTTGAAGTAAATATTTTCTTTGAACATGGTACTTTAAAAAAAGCCCCAAAACAAAACAAACAAACAAAAAAGCCTTAACTTTTAAAAAATGAAATTTCCAGCAATACATAAAAAGTTATTTTATTTTGAAAGCACTGAAGTGACATCGATTTGTCTATTTTTTTTCCCTCCCTAAGAACCTTGGCAATACCCAAAAGAATATACTCTCTTTTTCCCAAGGAAGTTCTCACCCAAATCTTTTGCCAAGACCTACTTTTATGTGAACCCCTGCCATCCATCAGCTCCGTTTCACACTGACCCTGAGCCTGGGTAAATGTGGCACCACAGCATGGGAATGGCTTCATCCTTCTCTACTCAACACCTCCTTGCTAAAAACACTTCAGTTCAGCAGCGGGAATGTCAGTTCACACTGATGTCTGGGCTAAATTAGTCCCTGGAGGAGCGGTGCAGGGAAGTCCCTGTCCTCTGCACACCCATTTCAGCTCAGCAGGTTGATCTACACCATATTTTTTTTTATTTTCACAAAGTCATATAATTTCAAATCTCCCTGCAGAGCAGAAAGAAAATTTTAAAAAATATTTGTAAAAGCCTATACATAGTTATAATGATATAAATAATTTCTGTGTGAATGCAAACCTATTCCTCTGTTTCCCACATACACAGCCTGGGGGAGTCTGTAAAGGGGCAGCAGGGCAGCTCTGGGTCCAGACACATGGGAACATTTACTGGGAAGTGACAGGTTCTCCTTTCCTCCCACCTGAGGTACCCCCACACCCCTTGCAGCATTCCAGGGGCTCATCTCCCTCTGGGGTGGTGGGAGCCGGACAGAGCCAGGGTGGTGGCTGCCAGTTTGGTTTGGGTTTTGAAGCAGGAGCACCCAGTCCCACACAGCAGGGAAAAGCCCACCTTGAGCTTCATACCTTTGACACAAGTACCATAGACAACTTCATTTCATATTTTTAAGGCTAAACCAATGATCCTGTTTTATTTTGTTACGATGAATACCTATCATTCAGGTAATCAACCTGAACTAACAGCAAAAGCTGTGTCTACTTGTGGACTAATTTACATATATTGCTAAAATGAATGAATTTTCTTTTATTTGTTGGCTGCATTCTGGGAGAATGATTCTCTTGCTGAGAGTTTCAGGTTGGCATAAGACCTTAAATCCTTTATGAAGAGGTACAAGACAAACACACGAAGTACTTGCTAACATCAAGTCATAGAATAGTTTGCACTAATACTTCAGGACCAGATTTCCTAAAAAAAAGAGGTCACAACAAAGAAGGACCTTTAGAAATCTATTTTTGCTCATGGTGAGACATTTTAAATAGCAAGGGGGTGGGTTCCTTGCTCACTCCTTTTGCAAAACCTCCCAATGGCCATGCCAGTTCCTGGTGGAAAGCCCTCCTGGGCAAGCAGGACCTCCTGCCTGTGTTGGTGCATGGTCCTTCAGGGCTGGATTCCTCCCACACATGGCTACTAGGTCTTTATGAAGCAAATTATTTAAGCAAAAGTCCTTTTAGGACTACAAGTAAATGCCTTTTGTGTCAGAAAGTGCGTAGTGGAAACTCCTAAGTCAGGCCATGCCTGTGCAGCTTGCTATGTTTGGCCATCTGATTCCTCTTCTCAGGAGTAATCACTAAGGACAGTCCCACAGCAGCATTTATAAGCAGAAGACATGGGTGCATGGAAATTTTCAAGGAAAGAAGGAAATAACTGAAGGCCTGAGCCTTTTCTTCAGCGCATGGGAAGGGGAAGGAAGTTGTTAGGAGCACTGCTGTCCCACCAGTGCATACAGGAGCTACCTGTCCCCATCACAGAGGTGACAAAAAGCTGTGTGATAACATCTCTCAGGAACATTACAAAATTAAAATGTATGTTCCTAAGGTGCCTTCAAAGCCTCAGGAGGAAACCACCAACCATGGTCACTGTAGAGGCTGCTACCTCTCTGAGAACACAGTGTCAGAAGCTCAGGAGCTCCCCTCCAGCAGGGCCACCTGAAGGGCTGCACATCACCTGTCCCTTTCTTTTCTCTAAATAAACAGAAATAAGCTACTCTTGCTGGTGTGCAAAATCACATAGCACACAGACTTCCTAGCAGACAAGTCATGATGTCTTCTTTGTTGTGCATATGTAGGTACACACATACCTCTGTCCACACCCATCTCATTATTTTATTGGCAAGTACCTGGAGGTGGGGTGTGTGGGGAGCACATGTGTGTTTTGTTTGCTTGTGTGATCACTGCAGAGAAATCCACATTAAACAGGGAATTGGAGACTGTGTTTCTCTAGCTGAAATTCAGCTTAATTTTAGAGCAAATACTGCTACCAGAAGCGCTGCCAGAGTCTGCATTGCACAACTCCAGACAGCATCTTTCATAAAACAATTATATTTTTTCTAGATGTAGTGAAAGCCTTGAAAAAAGTTTACTTGATGTCTAACCAAGCAATGCTGCATCTTTGAATTTGAAGGAGAGCTCAGAAAGTTAGTTTTTTATTATTCTTCATTTAAGTATTATTTTTTAATTGCAGCGTATTAAACATAAAATCTGGTACAATCTTTAAAAATAAATAGGACCTAACTATAAATGGGCCCTGTTGTGTTTTTATCTTTGACAAGCAAGTAATTGCTTCTCAAATTTATCAGTTTGTTTATGCAAAAACCATTTACCAAGCCTAGCTCAAAAGCATCAATTTCATCATTATCATCTTATTAATTTAGCCAAGCTATAACACAGCTGATTATTCCTGAGTAATATCCTCTGCAGCACATCATGTGTGGCAAAACCATCTGTACAGTACCTATTTAATAAATAAACCCTCGGCTAAATGTCTCTGTTTATTGAGAACTAATGTTTATAGAAAATATAATGGAACTCAATAAATAACTCAGCTTCATCAACCTGCATATGAATCAGTATGAAGAACGCTGACATCATCACCTTTCAAGTACCAGAGAAAGCAAAATTACCCAAAAGAGCTATAGAGTCAATATTAAGGCATTAAAAC